AGGGCTGAGTCACTTAGACCTTGACCGACCCCGATAGGCTAAATCAAGTCTTTTTTAAAAGCCTAGGACTGAAAAAGACCCAAAACATTCGGCATGGACCGTGCTCAAATATACTTTGGTGGGGTTAGTCCAAATCCATTTGCAGCCTCTAAAAAAAAAAACTTTGATTTCACTTAACATTATGAATCAGAATGTATTAGTAGACGTGAACGAATTGGAAATTGATATCTAGAGACTGAATATGACACTAAATCCTTGGTGATGAAATCAGAGCTTCAGCGATAAATCTAGCTCCGAGTATGGACATTGCTGATTTGTTGAATCGGTAATTTGGCTGTTAATCTCAGCTCTGAGATTTGTGTCGTGGATGGATTGCGAAGAATTAACAGTTGCGATACCTCCAGACACACCCAACATTGTCCTTGTTTTGGAACTGGCCGTTCCAAATGTTAAATTCGAAAAATTCAGCGTGTGATTTTCCATTCCTGTTGAGGCTGCAATAAACTGGGAATCTGTCAAGTGGTGATTTGGCCATATAGGGTAACCATGGCTAAACTCCTGAAGGGGTTCATGAGCATGAGGCTCTCGAGTCATTGGCAGATTGGAATTTGGCTGGCCATCGGCAAGCATTCTTTGCTGCATGTTTTGAGGATTATAAAACCTATTTCTCGTAGACTGGTTAAAAATTTCTGGACCTGTGTTGAAAGAACTCTGAAAAGGGAGAGAATTCATGCCATGTCCAAAACTAGTCTTTAGCCCTTTTCGTGCATTTCTTTCTGTGACTCGCTCAACTTTGTGGCCATTTTGGTGCCCACCTAATGCTTGCTTACTGGAAAACTCCTTATTACAGTACTTGCAGCCATATACTCGTTCCTTTACAAGATCGGTCACATTCATACTGTCTAGAGTTGTCGATGCCTTTAGATAACTTGATTGAACGGAGATTGACGAGTTTTCTTCTACACTCTCTCTTGGAGACTTTCAATATTTCAGGGCTGTTAAATTTGGCGCTTGTAAATTCCACGGTAGGATGAAAATTTGACGGGTTGATTTGGTTTAGAACTGCCGAGGTTCTATTTTAATTTATCTAGGGAGGAATTTAATGTTCACAGCCTTAAGATGGTAAACCACTTAATACGATGTAAATTGCAACATTATTGAAAGTTCTAAAATGCTTGATATGCCATTTACACCATTTCTTATATTTTGAGTTACAAGTAATCTTATACATAGATCTAATTCCGTGTACAGATGCAAATCTCAAAGAATTGATTAATGATATAGAATATTAGGGAAAAAATTGACATCGATACTTTGAAATTATATCTATTTTTGTACTCTTATCAATACCTTTTATTATCATAATTGAAAATTAAATATATCTCCATATTCATATTATATCGGTATTCATGCTTCTTGGGAACTTTATTTAATAATGGAGAAAGTTCTTTAATTTGATAGCATTTTGTCACACTTTAATTATCATAATTGAAAATCCATAGATCTCCGTACCTGTGTTTATACATGCTACTTCGGCACTTTATTTAGTAGTGGAGGAAATTCTTTAATTTCTTGCCATTTTATATGTACCTTTTGTTATCATAATTGAAAATTAGTATATTTTAGAGTATATCCAAGAGACTCTCTATTTTTAAAAACATATTTTATTATTTAAAGAGCATCTATAACTTTACAGAATTAAAATTTTGAAATACTCCAACAAAATTTTTATATTTAACATTTAATTTTATTACTACAAATTCACTTTCTAAATTAAAATATCAATTTAAGCAATCTCTTGTGGCATGATTTTAAGGGTTAACTCTTTAAAATAAAGAGCATTTTATGTTTAAATAGTCTCTTGAAAATGTTCTTATTGTATCGTATCTATATCGTGTATTTTTACACATACAACAATGGTTGGAGTAGATTTATGTTCTCCTTCGTGAAAGCATTGAAATTATGTATCTATATGCCAAAAGTTTGCTCAAATAAATGAAAAATTGAAGTTCAAAATGTATCAATTGAAAGATTGCTGTGTTGCATGGAAATTTGTATAGTTTGTCCCACATAGGAAAATTAACAAGAAAAGTTTGTATACAACCACGCATTATGAATGTGTAATTACATGTGGGCATTTTTATTGAACCTTCCAAATCGAAATTGGAGATTCGGTCCTGTTTCAAAAAAATAAATAAATTAGGATATAGAATCAAGAACCCACTGGGTCATAATTGTTTCTTGATTCTTGAATCGAAACGTGAGTATTGACTTTGAAATTAGTAAGTTTGCAGGGTCCAAATAGTAAGTAGGGAAAATTACTTTAACGTACTTTTAAAGATTAATTTTCAAAAAACAAGGATTAATTTTTATTTCAAAATCAGATGGTAATTAAGTTTTAATAATTATAATTAATAAAAATTTAATTAAACTTAATCTACATATTTACCTCACCCAACCCCACCCCACAAACCCACCTGTGCACCGTTCATTTCAAAATCCCGCCTGTACAGGCCAGACTGAATACAAGGGGGGTGGGTGATTTTTTTTATTTTTTTTAAATAATCCCCCACCCACGTCACACTACATTAGGCTTTTTTCAAAAAATTTCTCCCACTACTCAGTCTCTCTCTCTCACATCTCTTCTCACCACTCCCCATCCACGCACCAATAAAGCTACTTGTACAAAGTTGGGTTACAAAAATTGGATTACAAAGTGTGTTGACAAAATCCATGCCATTGATTTGAAATTATTAAAGAATCTATTTTTGAAATGATTGGTGTGGATATTATTTTGTCAACCAACTTTGTAACCCACCTTTGTAAGTGTAGCACAACTCTCCACGCACTCCTCACCCAATCACCTTCGTTTTTCGACATCGCAGAAACCGTTGTGCACAGCGCCTAAGACTTGCAACAGCAGCGAGCATTGCTCATGGAAGCCGATCAGTAGGGTCATGCCAAGTGGCGACTCCAGTAGTGATGATTCCAGTATCATTTCCATCGTCATCATTGGCTATGCCATTCATATTAAATTGGAAGTCAACAATCCTCCTTGATGTGTTGGAGATCTTGTTCCCAGAAATGGCCATTGCCAGTGTAGATGATGGATGAGGCTAATTTTAAGAACTATTTTCCATTGATGCGACGGTTGCAGAGTCTAAGGGAGTCTTTGATAGTGAGAAAGTGGAGGTAATAGATCTGTGGGTGTTTTATTGTTGCTGCTCTATTGGTTTTTTTATTTTTTATGTGGGGGTGGTTTTGTTGGTGGTGGTGGTATGGGCGGCGATGGTTTTGTTGCTGGGGTGCATGTAGTCGTGGTGAGGTGGTGCGGGTTCGGTTTTTGATGTGTTGGAAGTGGTGCTGGTCCTGAAGTCGTGGTGACGATGGAAATTGAGTATGAACAAGTCTATCTTCATCGTTGTCGTTTGGAACCAGCCTGTATGTGACTTGGTGACATACAATCACAAACTATATTAAGTTGATCACAGACAGTCACATTGAAGACAAATTTTACAGTTAACACAAGTTAGTGATGGTAGTATTTATGGTCATGACTCATGAATTTGAGTTGAAGGTGGTAGTGGTGGTGCATTGGAGGTGATGGTGGTGGTAATTGGTGGTGGATTGTGGTGTTGGTCTACGGTGTGTGCAAAATTTATTTTTCATGACCCCTATGTGACAACTATGTGTTTATTGTGACTGGTTGGTTGTCACTAAATTTGTGTCAATTGTGACCGATCATGACTTAGTCACGTACTGTTACAGTTAATATTGACTTGGTCACAATCCGTTTGAAGATAAAATTTGTCACTATTAGTAACAAATAACATAGGTTAGTGATTTGGTTATATATAATCACAAATTAGGAGGTCACGTTGAAGACAAATTTTGTCGGGCTACAAAAATCATTGCATACAAAAGTAAATATACTCATCTGCTTATACACTGTTTGTGAGTGATGAGAGAGTTCTTACTAAAGATAGAGAGGCCGTATAAAAACATCTACACCTTGAAAATCAAAGCCGATGCGATTCGTCTAGAAACTGATACTTCTTTTATTAAGATGGCTCTTCCAAGACAGAATGGCTGCATTTCTAATAAATATAGGGATGCAGATATTTAGAATGCATTAATTATTGGAGAAATTTTAAATGCATTAATGCTATAAATTCAAGTTGAAGAAAAGAAGAAACGGCTTCTATTCCTGAGGCTTCTATAGTTGTAAAAATGAAATAAATAATGTCTTTTCATTGATTATCTGGTTGTCCCAAATTCGGAGAGAGGAGGTAATTTTTCTTTCTAAATCATAGGATGCGAGAAAGGTTTTTTTTTTTGGAAGCTATTAGCTTGTATCAGCAACTGCTTTCTTGTTGCTGTACAGAAATAATTAAAATTCATTAATCATCACAAGGGAATGATATCACATGTTCAATATTCATGTTTGGTTTTTTGCATTTTCACTTGCTGAAACATAGTTTCATCCTTGAAGGATTAATATTAGTTTCCTACCAGCTCAAAGTTTGCAGTGCCTGCATTTTCTGATTCTATATCTTTCAAAGGTAACTATTAGTCAATCCATCTTAGGAGTTAACATAATTTGGTGTAGGAACTTCTGTATTATCTCATCGTTTGGCACCTATAACGTGGGAATGCAGATCAAGGTTGTTTAGATAGCATGAATAATTGAACTCTACACCAATGTTGTTAGTAAAATTGAAAAGTTGTAGTAAAACTCAATCTTTATAATGCTTTTGATATTTCTACAGTTAAGGATTTAGACAAAGTAATTTTAAGGGAATAAATTACTGGTGTTGATAGTTAACTCATAACTGGGACTTTGAAGATTAAGGGAGTCAATTAATTTGCAAAAGCTTGGACCTCGATCAACGCGATAAAATCGAGTATTCTGGCAACCACAACATTTTGGCCCGTCCCTGGACCAAATATTACTAGGGTGGGCAGTCCCGACCCATTTGCAGCCTCTAAACAATGCAATTGATTGAATGGATGGGAACTAACAAAAACAGCTTTGTTTTTCACTTAACCAAAATTGATCAAAATGTATTACAACACATGAAATATCTGGAAATCGATATCTAGAGATTGGATATGAATGCAATCCTTGAACACTGTGACAAGTAAAAAGAGAACAAGATACTGATGTAGTCAGAGCTTCAGTGATAAATCTAGCTCCGACTCTTGACATTTCTGTTTAGTTGAACCAGGGATTTTACTGTTAGTCTCAGCTCTGGCATTTGTGTCGTAAATGTATTGCGAAGAACTAGCAGTTGAGAGACCTCCAGACATGGCCAACATTGTCCTGGTTGTTCCAGATGTTGAATTCAAAAAATTTCGTGTGTGACTTTCCATTCCTGGTAAGGGTGCAATAAATTGGGAACCTGTCGAGTGGGGATTTTGCCATATGAGGTAACCATGGGTAAACCCTTGAAGGGGTTCAGGGGCATGAGGCTCTTGAATCAGTGGCAGGTTGGAATTTGGACTGCCATTGGATTGAGGATTATATGACCTATTTGTCATAGACTGGTTAAAAATTTCTGGACCTCCGTTGAGAGAACCCTTAAAGAGGACAGAAATCACGCCGCGATAGGAGGGACAACCTACATGTCCAAAATTAGTCTCGACCCCTTCTCTTGCATTCCTTTCTATGACTCGCTCAACCGTGTGGGCATTTTGGTGCCCGCCTAATGCTTGTTTTGTGATAAACTTTTTATCGCAATACTTGCAGCCGTATATCCATTCCCTCACATTATCTGTCACATGCATACCATGAAGAGTTGTTGAGTGGCGTGCAAGTTTCAACTTGCGATTCAGTGCTTCTCTTGTGCATGCACGCTTTTTTTCTACGGACTTGCTTGGAGACCGTTTCAATGTCT